ATTCCCTTGGAGTGCTGCAATTGCACTAGGAATCTGCCAGTGCTGGAAAATTCAGCTTATTTGAATGTGATACAGTTCCTGCCACTTCCAGTGATCAGAAAATAGACTAACTTCCCCACTCCCTGCATCATAGACTTGCACCTATAAAATGAGCCCAAGCTGCTTTAAACACTTGAGGAAATTTGCACAAAACAAGAACTACATACATTGTTCTAGTGTGATTTGCACAAATCAGAAGCTGAAAAATACAGTTCTAAAACTATTTGCATAAATTTTGTCCAAATCGTGGCCTATCTTATAGAGGTCTGCAAGCTGACTTGACAGATATCACAGTGAGTGTCAGCACAGGACCAACAAACCATAACCCAGGAGGAGTAAACAGTGAAATCCATTGGCCTTTTACTCCCTTGCTGGATTTACCACATATCCCTAATTGCAACAAACTTTAGGGCAAAACTAGGCAATTGTCTGCTCCCAAGGGCACATGTAGTGGGCAGCTAGGGGTCATACGTGCAACATGCATATAAACACACACTTTCTTCCCCATCCTTGCCTGAGCACTGGGGGAGACTTCACCCTCACTCTTCTCAGTAATCATGCTAGGAAAAGGGATGTACTAACACATCTGCTACACACTACATGAATTGTGTGTGGGGGAGGGGGTCATGGTAGGTTACATGTTGATGGGTTAATTCCACCGTGGGTGCCAGTGTGGTGATTAGAGAGTTAGACTGAGGACATGGAGGAACCAGGTTCTAGGCCTCGCTTGGCCATGAAGCTCAGCAGGTAATTTTGGGCCGGTCACTCACGATCAGTCTAACCTAGCTCACAAAGTTGTTGTGAGGACAAAATGGGAGTTATGTAAGCCACCTTACGTTTCTCAGGAGGAAAAAAGATGGGTGTAAATCAAAATGTGGTGGTGCTAGAGAGTCAATGAGCACTACTTCTCTGCATGCTCTCCCTAGACACTAACTGTTCAGGCATTCTGAAGCTGAATAGGGGAAATGTATGTGAAGGCATACATTTGATTGTTGTTGACTGGAGAGCTTCCCATACCTATGAAAGCTCTCCAAGTAAGCCCAACACTGAAAAATCTGTATTCTGGCATGACTAGTAATCCTCTATGGAGAAAGTTGAGGGCCACAAATATAATGAAAGAGCAGAGGGCTGGAGTGGATCTTTTCATGCCATAATAGGGCTTATAAAGTTGTTATTTTCTTTCACTGACTTTAGTTTCATGCTGCCTAATAGCCATCTTACTAGCAGCAGGGATTCCTTCAAAGTGAGGGCTTTCAGCCAGTACCATCTATACTTCCCATTACTGCTTCTGTATATGTGAGGTTCAGAGGCATACTTCAGTAATGAAGATGCTGTGTGGTTGCAAGCAAATGCTTCCCTCTGCAGTGTGCCCAAACCACTGAGGAGAAAATGGAGGGAAGAAAAAGGTATTCCTGCCAAAGGGTGGGCTAGGCTGTGGGGTTAAAGAGCTGAATCGGACTAAGAAGGGCACCAGCTTGGGCAAGGGTAAGGAAGATATTAGGAACAGAGGTGCAGAGAGAACTAGGAAAACTGCTTGAGTAGGGGGAATATCTGGGGGCACCCAGAGAGAGGGATCAGAGTGTTGTGTGTTTGTAAGTCTGTATGTGAGCTGCTTGTCTGAGAAAGGTTAGGGGAGAACTGGGAAATCCTGAAAATGAATGTGGGGTTTTGTTTTTGAGGGGGCACTTGCACTAAGGGGGAAAAAGATATGTATGTATATAATTATATATGGGATGCTTACATGTATTTGGGTAGCCAGGGTGAGAGAAAACATGATTGCGGGGATGAGTTTTGGCTGGCAGAGTGAGGGGAAAGAACAGTTTGCCTTCCTTGAAATGGTTTCTCTTGGCACACAAGACTGTGGGTCTAAGGGGGTATTTTATGCATTGGGTCTCAAAACCACTTCTGCAGACAACTTGTCTTTATCCATGCCTCCCATGGAAGCCATTTTGTGGTGGTGCTCAGAAGTTTATTTATTTATTTATTTATTTATTAAACCATTTCCCAAATTGCCAAATGCACCCATGGAGCTAAAATGGTTGCCAGCCCCTGCTTCAAGCCCATGTTTGAACAGCTCTAGAAAAATATTAAATCTAATTTGAAAGTGTCTTCACTTAGACTAGATTACAAATATGGAAAGGCACTTGAGGGAATGAGAGGAAAATCCTCAGCAAAGGTACACATTTCTTACACACCCCTTAGAGGATTCTTCTTTCTTTTGGTGAACTTTTTCCTCTTGACTTAATAACCCAGTGCAAATTTCAACATGCTTTAATTTACTTAAAAGTAACTTTTTCAGCTGGTTGCTACTTAACATGTAGAAAACTGCAAAATATTTTAGCATTGAAGGAGAAAAATGTTAAACCCCAGACAATGAAGCTTATCTAGCTGGATCACTAGTCACCACTTGGCTTTATGTGAAGGACAAACCTCAGTTTCTGTAGTAATCAGGTTTTATTCCGTTTTTAAATACATTTCTCAGAAGATAGTTTCTTTTTTAAGATCTAGAACATATTTTGAGGTAGCTTCAGAATTCTCCACTTTATGGAGTGAGGGCAGATGGAGGAAAGAGCAAATCACCTTAGCAAATCATCAACTTTCTGGACCCATTTGGGAATTTGAGAAATTGCTGTAGATATCACCACAAGAGGCTTCCTTTGGAGAACATGGCTAATCACTCAGCGGCTGCCAAGGAGGCCTGGCTAGTCCAGTGGTATGGGGATAAAGGAATAGCAAAAGTAGAGGATGGGAGGTAGAGGGAAATAGAATTATTTCTGTCCTGCCAAATCTTTTTGCATCAACACAGACCTTTCCACTTCGTTATCTCTTCTTTCAGCCTCTAGCCTTGCTATTTTGTTCCAATTTCTTCACCATTTTTTTCCTATTCGCCAACCGGAGCCATGCGCTCTCTCCTAGCCCCAGCTTTGCTCTTTTTGCTCCAGCTCACATGATCATTCTGTTCCTCTCTAGTCTCAGTGTCCAGACTGCTATTACTCTCCTCTCTGTGTTGCTTTCTCTTCCTGCCCACCAAACAGCTGACCAGTGGCAGGTAGGATGAAAAAGGAGAACCCGATGCCCTATTTTTTCAATTTTAAAAAACGGCTGAAGAGGACAGCGGGTGAAAAACTAATGCCATCCCATCCATACATGCACACAATTCAAATGGAAACAGGTTCACACAGAACAGTTGCAGAAGCGGTCCTAAACTGAAACAATTTAGTCAAGAAACTTCACATTTGATTCGAGATACAGAATGGAGATTCCCTTTCAAAGGAAGCAACTTTTACGTCAGCCATCATAATAGAAGATTTGTCAAGGCAGCAGCAGAACCATAGACAGAGGCAAGTATAAGATCAACTAGTCCAGCCTCCTTGAACCTGATTCCATCAGTTCTGGACTATAATTTGCAGCTTCCTGTCCACTGACCATGTGGACTGGGACTAATGCAAGCTGCAGTCCAAGACTCTGAAGGGCAACAGTTCAGAAAATATAGTTTGTCATAAGGCACTTGATTCCAATGAGGAAGGCAGAAATAGCCAGGTCATGGGCTATACTGAAGGGGTAGGTTTCAGTTCCATAAAGTGTAGAAAGGAATGGGGTGGGCAACACATGATTGAAATGAAAGGGCAGTCAAGTACATTAATACTGTTGTCTGGTTAGTGCTACAACCCATTGTGTCAAATACAACCCAGAAATAAGCCTTCATGAGGACATCAAGATATTTGAGACTTCAAAAGTTTCTCAGGTAAAACTGCTAATAATAGAAAGCAAAACAAGTCTGAGTGTCAGAAATTCAAGACAATGCTGGCTATTATGTATAAATACTGCAATAGACAGGTTAATTCCAGGAACATGGGTACCTATTTTCTATTATCAGACTCTTTAGAAGTCTCACCTTTAAGCATTCTCAACAACAAAAATAATCTCTTAGCTCCTCAATAAAACAACTGCACTACATCTATGCAATGGCCTTGTTCAGATAGTATGCTATGGTTTCCATATGATAATGTCCTATGGGTCCCATACTCCTAAGAATTCCAAAGCTGCTAGTTACAACCAACTGCACCTTCCTGTGACATGTAAATAGGAAACTAAAAACTGAAGCTTTCAACACCATTTTCATACTTTGAAAAGGAGAAACATGCAAACCCAAGGCTCACCATGGCACACTGATAAAATGGGAAGCTATGGTCTGAGGTTTTGCTACATCTATACAGTGACCATGTTTGTATAGTTTTATAGACAACATGGAATTTCATCATTAAGACAGTTCAAAAGTAATTAAGGTGTCTCACAATAGTGTAGTTGGTCATGTGACTAAAACCAAAGGTTTTTGTCTTCCATTAAACCCAAACTGGACCTATATAGTTATTGTAGCAAGACTCCCTTAACTAGTTTGCCCAATTGTTCTGGACCCTGAACTGGCCCTGCATACGTATAAATTAACACTAGGAATGTAGAACTTGGAAGAGGATAGAATCAGTTCCTTACTCCTGGGCTTAATATATATTTTCCCACCCCAAAATTCTTGTAAGATGCGAACAAGTTATGCTTTCTTCATAGCGTTAATATTGCCATATAAAAGGGCAATAGTTGGTCAAGTGCAGACACTCCCTTACTTTAATAATCACTTGTGTTCTTTATTTTCTCAGTGCTTTAAAACTGGTCTAGCTTAACAGCTAAGAGAGTATGCCAGAAGTCTGTTTTAATTTCCCCCTCAATCAGAAATTCAGGCTGAAACCCTGTGTTCACTTACCTGAGAACACCCATTAAAAGCAATGGGTCTTAGACACATACAGGCCTGCACTGTTAATGGCTTTGGGCAAGCCACTATTTCCTCAGAGAACAAGGATTACTGGAGTAATAAGAGTTTTGAGGACTTGAACTGAGGACTATTTAGCTTAGTATTTACATAGGGTTACGCAGAGAAAGAAGTTAAATGAAATAGGTACAAGTCATGCTGAATGACTACAATCATTTTATTTATATATATGTACACACACACACAGACATTTGCTCAAGAAAAGTATCCGGTATATTTAGATACATGACAGTCACCATCTTAGCTCAGAACGAAACAAATACTGACCTCTGAAAATTCTGGATGGCCAGCCATTTGACTTACCGCTACTTGCCTACAAAATTACTCTTTAATGGGCATGCTTTTGAAACAGTGTCCCCATTAAAACTACAAATATTCAGCTATGCATACAAGTGGGATCCTGAATTACCTAGTTTCACTCCATACATTCAGATATACACTGCAGCTGCACATATCTACAATTCACCACACAACTTCCAGCATTTTGCAATTCACTGGTCGCTTCCCCATTTCCACGTCAGTCCTATGATGGTTTAAATTTGTGAAAGTATTGGACTTAAATCCATTTCCTTTTAACTATGCCTGCCTGGGGCAATTGTCACTGTGAAGCTTCAGTGTACAGTTGCATTTCCTAGTTTCTGATCACTCAGGGTACATTTGTTTCTACATAAACCTCTTGCTATGGAAAGCAGCTAATAAGCAAAGAGACTGCCCACATATTATCCCACCCAGTGGACAGGGCAGTTTTAAATAGGTCTCATCCCTCCCCCCATAAAAAATAATTTCAGTTATTGACCTTGTTTAAACCATTTGTACCATACCAAAATAAAATCTAGTTCTCACAGTATGCCAAGCAAATTCCCTTCCCCTTAATACAATTACAACAAATGAGGTAGACAGGAGGTTGCATTACGATTTGCAATGGCTTTACCACAGCCTTATTGACAAGCTTTCCATTGCTGCAGCCTGCTCTTTCCAAACAAAATATCTGCTACTTGCAATTTTATCCTGAGACCTATTTTACTATCATCTTTTTCAAATAATGTATTTGAAACTAAATGTACTATCACAAGAGAGACGTTTGCCTTTACATCTTCCACACAAATCCTGACGATGGGGTCTCTTGGGATCTACATGGCGCAGTTTCACAGGGCAAGTGCACCTTGTCTGCTTGCAACTCTGAAATTGATATACAAAAGCAATCAGAAATGAAACAATTATTCTATGCATCTGTATATAAATTCAACAGATACAAATGCCTGAGGAATAAGCCTGGAGTTCATCGGTTTTGTACATTAACACATTTAGCTACAGATTAGTTTACTCTGATTTTGTTTGCTGGAACAAAGCCAAGCATTGCCTTTATGAGCATATTCTAGACTGTGGCCCTGTAAGCACAGAAATGTAGTTCATCTCTTAGAGAAAAGGAATGACAGCAATTCCCAATTTAAAGCTGCTTCATGGGGGGGGGGGGGAATAAGTATGTCTTGAACAAGCAGCAGAATGAGTTGAAAGAAAGGACTTCACTTAATTACATGGAAAAACATTCCAAAATAGTACTGTACATCTTAAATGGAAGCAAGAATATAGCAAAAGTCCAAGTCATGGAATTTTGGCACATTGCATTACAATTAATAGACTTCAGGCTTCCAAGATCTATACTAAGTTTTTTTTCCTACTAGAAATGCAGGGTTCACCAAGCAGGTGCAAAAATAAGAGCCCAACACATTGTAGAATTAAGAAACAAGGTGTTTCAGAGAACATGACTCAAATGGAGAATTTATTTTCAGTATCTAACTGAACTCCTAGTTTTTTCCCCACTAAGAACCTACACAAGCATCTCTCATTTTAGCTGGTGCCCACTGGAAGTTGGACTTTTTCCTGTCTAAGCATTTGCAGGATTATGCCCTTAGCTGCTAATTTAGAGAAGGAGAGAGTCTATGTTGTTGCTCAGAAGTCAGAAACCCTCATAGATCTACTGCATATAATCCACAGATCTACAGATAGATCCCAGTTAACCTTGTTCCCATCTCTGCCTTACACGGTCTCTTAGGAGTCACTGCTTACTTGGCAGGTAATGTCTTCCACACGGTAGGGATTGTAGGATTTCTGGCAAGTACGACAGAACTGCCTAAAGTAAACCTGTGGAAAGGGGAGAGAGAATGAAAGCGATACCCTACCAAAGTACTAAAAAGTCCCTCTTCATCACCCATGACACAACACATACCTTGTTTGTGCCCTGCACACACCACACATAGGCACTTTCCCAGCGGATATTGCAGTCCTTGCAGTGGTAATAGCCATACTTCTGCTCTAGGAACTAGAGAGCAGAAACATTAAGGCAACAACCAGCAACAAGGGGCAGCAGATTCATTCCAGGCTCAGAAAACAAGAATCGGCACACTCCAATTGGCACTTCAAGCTCAGTACAAAACATGTTTTGCTTCAAGAGGTAATCTGTACCCCTATCTGATATCTGCCCATTATGTTCCATCCCAAATTGAACTGGTCAATTCTCTGCCTCCCCTTTCCATCAAAGGAACTGTAATTGACTTTCCATGGGACTACCTGAAGTTCCTTTAATTTGTACAAAATACAGCAGTAGATTCTGACTAGAGGCAGTAGATCAAGTCATTTTACTCCAGTTCTGTACCTATTCTGGTTTCAATTTGGAGTGCTGACTACAGATCTCTATGGCTAAGCAGCAGCATATCACTTTCTTCCACACAAACCTGTTGAAGCAGTATGAGGCTCTTCTGTGGTTCTGCCCCCCCCCCCCATTAAAGGTATAGCAGGTGGGCACAAGAGACACAGGAAATTTTCTGTTGAGAATAAGAAGCTGGAAATACAAACCCAGAGGGGGCTGCTGGTCTCTCCTGTCACACACTGGAATGCAAACAACAAAAGCCACTCTACTTCAGCAGGCTTCTGGGAGGCTACTTTTCAACCAGCCTCTGCCATGTTGAGTTGTTCTTTAGGCATTTTGTACCATTTTGATTAACTGTAGTTTATTTAGCGTAATCATTACCATAATTTGACCCACACATGCTCAGGATATTGGGGGTCAATTCATAGCAGAGGAGTGGTGGCAATGCTGCTACACTTTAGGATAAAGAAAACAGTAGCTTTGGGGGCCTCAGTCAAAGTCCAGTTCTACAGTCCTGCACTCACAGGGGGTTGGGCCTGGTGGCCTTCTTGGCCCCTTCCAATACTACTATTCTATGAATCTCTATTAAATCCACTGTCTGCACATAATGCCTTATCTTCTGAAACTAGCCACCTAGAATTACAAAGACTATTTCAATTAACTGAGCTGCTCTGCTCATTATGCATGCATATACACACTTGCAAACCAAGCTGAAGATTTGCTAAGCCTTGCAAAAAGCACAACAGGAGGGTTTACAATAGTCACCCTTGTCTTCTGGTCAGATAATTTCACTGCCTCTTTGAATCTATGTTCTATTTTCCAATTGCGTCCAATTCACTGGTATACCCATCAGTTCTCTGTACAAATCCACTGCCTTCATGCATGAATAGAATGCAGTGAAATCAGCATCTTATGGTAAAATAGAGGGTGGGCTTCACCAAGCACTCCATTTGTTGCTTTGAATGCAAAGCCGCACATTATGTTCAGCCTCATTTTAAAAAAGGAAAAACTAATTGAGGGCAACCCTCCTCCACCTGTCTTTTGCTAAAATTTACAGACTCCCACATCAGAGATGGTACATAAACATGCAAACTACCCCAGCCTACTCCTACCTAGCACCTCCCGCATATGTTGGGACTACCAATTCCCACTACCTCAATCAGAATGTTCATTGATGGTAGATGCAGTCCAACACACTCAGTGGACCAGGCTGAGGTAGGCTGACATGTCTTACCATTTTATTTTTGTTCATCCCGTAACTCAGGCTTTTGGGCGCAGTTTTAATTAGGGAAGACGAAGATAGCTCAGGCTATCAGGAGTCCGGGAAAACCTGGTCTCAAATTACACACTGCGCCCTGGAAGAGGAAAAGGATGAATAGCGCGGAAAGACATAAACAGCAGGCCGATTAGGTTTTACCCTCTCCGCCGCATGTTTATGTCCACTTGGATATGCACATACTTTAGGGTAGTCTTGGCCTGCTCCCTTGTAGGCCGCCCCGCGAGAGGCGTTAGCAAAAGACGGCCTACAAATAAAACAACCTGAGCCAGTAAAAAAAGGAAGCCACTTCGGAACTGGAGAAGGGGGAGCGCCGTCTCCCCTAGAGCTCCCACCTGGAAGCGCACGCGCGTCTTACTCTGCCCGGAGTCCTCCTGGGGCTGCTGCTGCTGCGCCACGCATTTTCCAGCGGCCCGAGAGGCGCCGTCCGCTTCGCTCTTCTCCTGCGCTGGCGCCTCCCCCTGCAGCTTGGTGGGCAGCTCTTCCTCGCCCACAGGCAGCGGGCATGACTCCTCGCTCTCTTCCTTCTGGGGCCGCCGCTGCTCCTCGGCGAGACCCCCCTCGGGTTTCTCCCAGCTGGCGCGGACGGCAGCAGCGGTGTCCGCGTCCGCTTCCCGCTGCGGCGAAGCCAGCGGCTCTGGAGGCTCGGGCTCCTCGAGGAAAGTGGTGAGGCGGCGCGAGGCCACCGGCGAGTAGACGGCGATGGTCCTGGGGAAGCGCACGGGCCGGATGCTGCCGGTGACCGGGCTGCCTTGCTCCTGCTCCATGCTGGTCGTTCGACGGCGCAGCAGCAGCGGCCGCGGCCCGAGCGAGCATTGCACCGAAGCGTCTTGGCGCGGGTTGACCTGCACACCCACCTCCTTGGTGTTGGCCTTCCGCAAGCGCGGCGTCAGGTTGGGGTTCACCTGCGACAGGATGGCTTTCAGCTGCGCCCGCTGGTAGTTGTCGAAGTATTCCGCAGCTGCGGCCGCCACCGCCGCCGTCTCACCATAGCCGGAGAAGTAGCCGCCCCGCTGCCTCCAAGGGCCCTGTCCTCCTTTGCCTTTGGGCGGCTGGTAGCGGTAGGAATAGGGGTTGTAGGAGGGATACACGTAGCTCTCCATGGCTTCGTCCACCAAGGTAGCCATAATGCGCGCCCCCAGGTCTGGCCCTTCTTGGAAGCTGCTTAAATACCCCACTGGGCGGGCCTTGGCCAGCGCGGGAACTAACCAGCTCTCTTACCAAGAGTCACTCAGCACACCTGCGCGGAGCCTCCTGGTGTAAAAAGCCTAGTTTGCAATCCTTTGCACATTTAGCTTGAAGAATGCCTCGCTGAGTTCAGCATGATTTACCTCCGAGGAAAGATGCATAGGACTCTGGATTTGCAGTAGCATCCAGTGTATGCTTATACTGCAATCAATCCCACTAATAGCTTAATGGGGCTTTCTCCCAAATACGTATACATAGGATTGTAGCTGTTCTAGGACCACTGAACATGGTAGGATTTACTTCTGAGTAAATATGAAAAGGATCCAACTGCTAACCTGGTTTCTGATACCACAGATAAAAAAATGCAGATATTAGACAGTAAATGAGGCATCTGGTTTAAGTACCATCCATTCAGATTCTCACAGCACCTGTATGCATGCATTGAAAGAAAAGGGTAAACAAAAGAGGTGCAATCCTAGGCAGGCTTGTGTTGCAGAAAGAACTACTGGGCAGAGTGGAAATTACTTCTGAATAAATACTCATAGAGTCTGGATGTATATAGAACTAAATTACTTAGGAGTCAGTGCCTTAGCATTATTAAGTTAAGTGTATGCAGTCTCTCAATCCATGACAACAGCATACACCAGAAATGATTTATTTTGGCACTAGATTTAGGTTGGTTTTTTTTTTTACTGGTCCCATAAACTTGAATGGTACTATTATTCAGACTTAAGTAATGTTTGACAATATTAGAAAAGATCTACAAGAATTATGCTCTCTCTTAGCCTTGTCCTAAATATTTTCAAACTACAATACCACAAATGCTTTCCTGGGAATGAACTATTAGAAAACAGGATTTACTTATGAGTAAACATGCATATGTGTGCACTGTCACTTAAAGTGTTTAAGCATTTTAAGGAACCATGTTAAGTACTGTGAGCACTTAATGTTAAGTATCCTTGGGAGAGCAATGCAGCCTTTGTGAACAGGGAACCCTAGATACAATCCTTAAACAAGCCACATACCCTGTAGGCATGGGATCCCCACATGCTCTGCCCAGCAATAGAGTGGATGCTGTGTATTCAGAAACTGCTTCAGTTCTTGGCACCTCTAGTTAAAGACTTTAGAGCTGCTGCTAGATAGACCACAGGACCAGTGGTTGGACACCTTTGCTACAATTCCCTCTCAAACATCTTACTAGTCTTTCTAGTCACAGGGATCTTTCTATTATTTTGGTTTTGTTAAAAGCCCCAACTGGACTGGAAATGGAAAAAGAATGAGGCCTCCCTTCTGAAATCCATCTATGAAAGGAGTGGTAGCTCTGATCTCAACTAGATAAAGCAGACAAGCTCTCATACATTCTCTTAATGGGTTGATACCATAGCAAGAAATTTAATCACTGATAAGTATACATAACATTAGTTCATCCTTTCCATACACATAGAAGCTGTTTGATATGCAAGATACACAACTTTGTTTTTTAAACAGCAAATGTGGTTGGTGACATTGGGTACACTTGACAAATACAGCCACCATTTCCCCTTGCTCTCCATATCTTTCCACACCAGTCTTCCAAATTCCTCTTCAACAAACAACATTTCAATGTCATGTTTATGGTGATGGCACAAATTGTGAAAGCATCTAAGGAGGTTGTTGCTGATGACTTGTGGAAGAAAAATATTGGCACGATTACAAATCACAGGGTTGTATTCAATGGGCTATATATCCAATGTTAATCTAACCTATGTCTCATCCATTTAATAGGTTTACTCTGAGTAACACTGGCTACAACCCATGCTGAACACGTGCTTGGAGTTGTCGTCTTGTGCCCCATTCCCCTTGCTTTGGCTATACCACATATCCTAAAATAGGGTTTCCTATCCAGGTCTTCCCTCTCGCTAGAGGGCAGTCTGTGTGGGCTCCATGAATGCTGAGCCATGACCCTCAGCAATCACTGTGCCATACGAAGTGTCTGGCACTTCTTCTTCCTTGAGTTTCTTGTAAGAAATGTCTGTATCTTCATCTTCTTCTACTAGAGGTTCTTGCTTATAGAAGTCCTTGCCATATATCTTGTAGGCCAACACAAACAAGCCAGCTTCTGCAGATTGGAAGAGGGCATAGAGTAATGGAAACATGTACATGCTCCCAATGAGCTGTGGGGGGAAAGACAACTTGAGTATAGCAGTACAGAGCTGAACGTTCTGGCAGCCAGTCTCTAGAGATACTGTCCTTTTGCAGTGGGGTGGCAAGTGGAATAATGTTGCTACACCATAGCCACAGCCATAGCCTGCCAGGGGCATCACCACAGCCACCACGTAAACAGTGGCTGGAATAGTAGCCAACAGTTCAGGACCCAGCATCGTACCCGTGAGAATGAAAAGGATCACCAAAGTCACCAGGAGAGACCACAAGGAAACCTAGCAATGAAAGGATTGGATGAGAATAAGCAGACATTTGGAGTACTGCTGCACTTAATTATATCAATTATACAGGTTATTTTAAGTGTACTAGCAGCACAAAGGAAAGTGGGGAAACCAATAAAAAGATGTATAACTCTGTCCCATTTGGTAAAGCATAATAGCATGGGGTGGTGTTATTTCAACAAAGGGCATTGTTTGATGATCACAGCCAGGACTAATAGGCTTAATAGCAAAGTTACTTGTATTCTATGTAAATGGATCCTTCAGCAGTTGAAGAGCTGTTCTGTGGAAAACACAGTATCTGAACTCGCAAACTAGTTTATGTAATTCCTCCCAATCGTGAAACTGTGGTTTGCAAACCTTAGTCATATTTAGACTCGACTAACAGAAATAAATGGGTCTTTAGTCTCTCAGGTCTATGCCATTTTTTATTTAAATGGGTCTTCTCTAAGTATGCCTAAGCCTGGATCCAACTGGAGGGATTGTGCAAACTACAACTCACCAGTTTGGATGTGATGACAAACATCTGCAAAATCTGATCAAAAACAAGGGAGGGGGGATGCATGCAAGCTGAATTGTGTAAGACCAACCAATGTTAAAGACGCTTTGATAATATCACCAATTGCTTTATTCAATTGATTATATGTGGTCCTGTATTAAATTGCCATTTTTCATTTTTGTCTAATGTTTAATTCTTTTAAATTGGCTGACAAGTGTTGTAAATAAATTGAATCTTTAATGGCTGTATCCTATAAATATATTCTTTGTGAATGCCTTTAAACCATTACAATAGTTACACTGAAACTGATACTATACCATACTATAAGGGAACATGGAAAAGTAATGCCTGTTTATATACCCCATTTTCTAGCCCTAAAAGGGCTTTTGTGCCTATAGTATTAAAACACAATATAAACTAGAACTAGTTTTTGAAAGTTTAAAACAACAGTCAGTCAGTCAGTAAAGTCTTAATCAGCCCCCAAAAGGAAGAAGTGACTAGGCTTGTCAGATCTGGAAAAAAGGCAAAGTTGTAAAAAGTGAGTATCCATCTTCCTCGTAGCTGTTCACCTTCCTTCCTGCACTAATTCCCTCAAGTATGCATTTTGCTATGAGAGAAATCCTGCTTAACAGTTTTTATATGTGCTCAACAGCAAATGCAGCATAAGATGTTTTAAACACATTCCAAGAACATCTGGTACATTGGCAAGGTAGCGGAATCTGTCGTTTTTAGGGTTGTTGCTGTTTATACGGCAGGGTGCCTGCCACTTTAAATGGCTAGTCAAGCATGTTGGGTTAATGTTCCACAGTTTCTCCATATTAAATCTTTATAATATCTGCATCTGAAATAGCAGTATGAACTACCACTGGGACCACAAGAAAGTTGTTTCCTTATGAAGTAATTCTATCTATTATTCCAATAATTATGCTTGGGAAATTTATTTTAAATTATACTTTTGATATATTTTATCAAAAGTGAAAATAAACTATTAGAAATAGAGCGTTCCATGAACTTATAAGGGTCCTATTTAGAGTTGAAATTAATAGGACTTGAGTTAGACTAACAATAGATACAACCCTGACTATCCTGAGAACACAGAAAAGTTAAGAAAAACTGAGGGAAAATAGTAAGGGATAATGCCTGCTATTAAGCCAATATGCAGTAGTCAAGAGAAAGGAATGAAATTTAAGTCTTTGAGATAATGCCCCATTTATCTCAATGGACTAACCTATAGTAGGTTAGTCCTGGGTACATAGGACTAACCTATAGTACCCAGGAGTGTAAAGTTAAACATATTTATAGTATGGCTGATACATTTTTTTATTTACTGAGGCCTCATGGTTTTAACTTTCTGAGGGAAAACTTCACCTGCTGATATTTGCCTTTCACAAAGTTGTTAAAAGCAAAGCATCTCTGACTTTCAGCAAAGTAGCAATATTAGAGTGGAATTCAACATGGTGCAAGTGGAAGCTGCTCGCACAGGAGGACTTGTTGCTTATTCATCCCCTGCAGTTCTCCACACACCTTGAACATCTGTTCCAGAGGGTTGCCAACACCTCCAGAGATGCTAAGGCTATACAGAAGGAGGAATCAACCTCTCTTAATTCAATTGTGCCCTCTATTTTGGAACATTCAGACATCACTAGAATTTTGCCCCTTCATAACCCCTTGTTTGCTTGATTTTGTGTGGCATGGTACAATACAGATAACTTTAGATGGCAAGTTCCAGGGGCAAAACAAACTTTTGCCCCTTTTTGTTACTTTATAAACCAGTATATTCAATGGTAGCATTATATACATAAAATTATCAACAGAGTAATGGAAACTGCCAATATATGGACCACATATTCAGCATGTAACTTGCACTCATACTTCTTTAATTCTCTTTGTCTTTGCCACCTTAATGGCAACAGTGAGTTTAGGTTGTCATGAATATTTCAGCAACCTATTATTATATCAATATAGCACTTACCCTATCTATAAACCTCTAAGCAATTTAGAAAACCAGAGATTTAAATACATCATTATAAATAACCACACCAGTTAAAATTTTAAAATATTTAAAAACAAAGCTAAAATGCCATAATTAAATGAATAGCCACATATTGTACTATTTCCAGTTAACCAATTTTGCATTTACTGGCCCTTGCACTTAAGTTGAATTTCAGCAGTGCTGTCCCCTCCCTTCCACCTGTTGCTTTATTTTGGCTTAATTGAAAATGTATGCCTCTATTGAAAATGCATGCTTCTTTGGGTGTGGGTGGGAGCAGAAATTGCAGTGCAATCCTGTACGTGTCTACCCAGAAGTGACTTCAGTGGGACTTACACCTAGGTAAGTGTGTACTGTTTTCTCCAGTCTTTCTGTGTCTGGACTCCCTAGCTAAACAGAAGGCTCATGAATGGTGCTGTCCAACTTACCTAGTTCCTTCTCGCACAGTTCAAATTCCTGTGCCTGCTCACAACTCTTGTCCCTCACCACTTCACTACTTGTGTCCACTCCAGAGGGCATGTGATTGGGTCCTGACTGAATGCACTGGAGGAGGAGAGCGGTGGCCAGAGAATAGCAAACTAGATGGTTCTTATCTATAAACAGAATAAAGGAAGACTCTGGTTGTGTGGGGGGGGGGAGGGGGGAGGAGGAGAACAAAGAACACTTTGATTTTTTAGACAGATTAAAACATGATCCTAGTTGTGAGGAGAAGATTCTTTTAACGTGTTTGGGAGTGGAGGTGGAAGGGAGAGAAAGGAAACTACGTTTAAACTGGTTTTTAAAAGAACCTGATTTAAGCGGGGGAGAGATGTGTGAAATGAAGTAATTGTAATGAGAACAGTCAGCAGTAATAATGTTTAGGAGGAAGGGAGGAAATTGGGCTGCTATCTAGAACTGCTTTGTTGTCTTGCATTCTGTTAAGTCAAATTACTAGACTCTGTGGGTGACCACTTTCCCTGCTATAAAATTGGGCTTTCCACTTGCTGTTGCTATTGATTTATGTGTCTTGGAAAGAAATTACTGGTCTCCAAATCTTATCCTTTTGTCTGCTCTGATTTTTTTCTTTTCCCACTTTTTTATGGCCACCATTTTCTTCCAGATCTATTGAATTTTTATTTTGTTACTTGAAGCACATTGCAAAACTTCATGGAATCTTCATTTTGTGGAAAGCTGATAAAACAAGGAATCCTGTGGAAAAACAGGGCAATAATCCTTGCACATGTGTAACTTTCTAGTCTACGCAGTATGTTTTTATACTACATTATGGAACAAGAATTTCCAACTTCTTTTTGCAGTTCTGCTCCTATAAGTTTAGCAATAAATCAATATATGCACCACACACACACCAATAAAGGTTGCAAACATGCATTTAAGAGTATGCTCCACTCTGATTATTCTACATGCAGAAACTTGGACCAAAAGCTGTTTTCCTCAGACTAATATAGCTATGCCATGAAAAGTTTAATCTATCTAAATTCCTGTGTCAAACTGCTACTAAAGGCACAAGAGCAAGACCAGTAGAAAAAGGGGGGAATCCAGTATACAGTCCAATATATAAATTTTGTGAGCAAGCCTTACAAGTCAGTGTGATTGGTTTCTGAGTAAACAAGCACAGGATTGAGCTGCACAGGAAAACTGCTCTGTTCCTTTATTATCATTATAGCTGAATGATTCTTTATTAGCCACATGGCTCCCTGGGCTGGTCTGTGATTATTAATACAATCCTATTCATTTTACTCAGTGGAGATTACTTGCACATGGGTACTTGCACTGAATAAGATTGGGTTGCAAGTTTCTTACAGAATGTTCAGTTCATATTTTTTCAGGACTGAGTGAGAACTGCAGAACAAAGATCTTGATTGCATAGCTGGAAATAAATCTTTAAAACCTTCAGAAAATCGTATTTGCACATAGCTAACATGCTCTCTGTATGAGTGTGTCCATGCATGTACACATTTCTTGGTAAAATGTGGCTCCTTCTGTCCTACCTGGAGACATGCTTACCATTAGCTACTCTGCCCCCTGCCCCACCAGTCCCAGTAGGCACCAGCTGCCAATGGATCTGGTGGTGACAGAATTAAATAGTATGGGCACAATTTTCAGCAAGTTACCAATGCTATCTCTTTTATTACATTCAAGATTAAATTGCAGAGAAATCATGTGGTTCATCAACATTTGTTGTAAACACATATGGACCGCCTTATGTTTGGACAGACTGTTGATTCATCAGGTCCAGCACTGTTGCCTCTGGTTACGGCTTGGTCAGACATTTGCCCAGCCAGCCCTGCTATAGAGGTCCTTCCACTGGAGGTGCCAAGAACTTAACAATAACTGGAGCTGGTGATACTCAGCTACACTTGGAAAAAATGGAAAAGTGACTTCATGCTTTCAGGGCACATGAGCAGACATTGCCCTTCTAGAATAACTCGCATCAAGGGAAACCTGGATGAGGATGTGAAAAGGGCACCCAAACCTCTCTTTCCCCCTGCCACATTGTACATGAAGGCATAAAAACAGAAGAGGAGCTGTAATGGATCAGACTAAGGTTCTGTCTAGTCCATTCTGTTCACCCAGTGGCCAGCCAGCTGCCCACTGAAAACCTGCAACAGAACATGAACACAATAGCAGCCTCCTGCCCAAGTTTCCCAGCAACTGGTATTCGTAGGCAGACTGCCTCTGAAAGGGGAGGCAAGGAGAAATGGAGCTGTACTGACCCCCGTTATGTTACAAGTGCATGCAGACACTGCGTGGGTGATATGAGTAGATTCTGCTTTGGATTGCATACCTAATGCAAGTTGTTGCTGTTGTTATGTGCTGTCAATTCAGCTCTGATTTTTGGCAACCCTATGAATGAAAGCCTTTCAATATGTCCTATGTATGACAACCCTGCTTAGCTGTTCTAAATTCAAGGCTGTGGCTTCTTTTCTGGAATCAATCCATCTCTAATGTGTTCTTCCTTTTCTGCCACATAATAAATACACCAATTTAACAGTGTGTTGAATGAAAGGAACTGGTCAGAAATGCAGGTGCTCTGGAGACCTGCCTCTTATACCAACGGCTTTCTCAGTGGCAAAGGCTGCACCTTCATCTCCTGCCATCTGCTCCAGAGGCAGCCAGTAGAGGCTTCGGCTTGTCCAAATGGGCATGCGTCAGGACTGGGGGTAGCTTACCTTCAGCAGAATGTCTGCCACTCGTGTATATCTGTAGCGGATGAAGACTCCGAGGCCAATGGGGAGCAGTGTGCTGCACAAGGTCAGGGTGACGGCGCCCAGAGGCAGGAGGCGCACAAGCGGTGTGTTGATCCAAGCATGGCTATAGATCCACAGGCAAAGGGGCATCAAGACCAAAGCAAGCAAAGTGGACGATATGGTCATGATGATGCTGCCAGGGACGAGAGGAAAGACCTGCAGTTTTCCCAGGCTATTTCCCTATCGCAATGCCTCTCCCCCCAACCCCAGTTGTTCATTTTGCACAAACTCTCCCCCCCCCCCCCCCCGCCGTCCCATTACGGGCCTGTGTGTGGGTTTGGTGAGGGCAGCACTTAGTCATCTTGCAGGCGGAGTCATCTATCTCCTCAGTGCAAGTTCTGTTTGGGCAGTTCTCTCTCTTTACACTTTCCCTTTTTTTCCCTCCCAGCTGCATCCCTCCTTGGCTATCATTTTCCCCACTCAACCCCCCCTCCCCTCCCCCTGCACATGTTTCTTAAGCACTGCTGCCTATAGGGTGTGTCTGACTATGGTCAGGGTCCCTCCCTCCCCACACAGACACACACCCTGAAGAGATATACTTCTTTCCTCTTTCTGCAGGCTTGGAAGTCTCTGAAAAGTGAAAGGTGGAGGACATAAGACTATAACAAACACCAGGCTGCATCAAGCCAAATGTCCATCTAGTCCAGCATTCTCTTCAAACAGTGGCCAAGCAGCTGCCTGTTGCTCGGAAATCTGCAAATGGGATGTGACTTCTCACCTTGTTCCCCAGCAAATGTTATATATAGATAGTCGAGGAGCTAGCCATTGGGAACAGCAGCCGCTGACAACATTGTCCTTCGTAAAGTTGCCCAGTCCCCATCAATGCATCTTATAAAAAAAATTGTTAGTGGCTCACAAAAATTTAATATATGAAGGAGCGAGACTTCTCGAACTGTGTGTGGCAGGATATGCCTGTGCCTGTTATCTGTCTAGTTCCATTAATTCTTAATTTATTTGATAGGGGAAAGATGCTAGGACTCAATATTGCACGGAAACTTTTTTCATTCTTCTTGAAATGAAACTGCCCAATAGCCAAAGCTCTCTGAGCAGTTCACAAAAATTAATGCACAGACTTACAGGTTATCTCCGTGCCTTTGAAAAGGGTGTAACAGGCACGCATTCAACTGGTGCAGCTTACCCCAAGTTGCCAATGCAGTGATGCGAAAGGCTTTTATTATGAAAGAAAGGCGTCTCTTTCGAGGTAATCCCCCCCAAAGCATACTTCCTCTGAAGCCAGACTTGTTGATTTGAACGTAGCAAAACTTGCAAGTCTTCAGCAGCTGCTTGATCGACAACTATTTTGCAAATGCATCATGTGTCCCTTTTCCGGGGTGGGTGCGCCACACCAGTTGAATGTCTGCCTGTCACGCTGCTCTACCAGGAAACAGGGGAGCCATAGATATGATGTTGGCAGGGGCAATACAGGCTTTGGTCCCGCTCCCGCTTCCGACGCTGCGGAGATGCCTTCTGAGGGGCGTCCTGTCTAGTGCCAGCTTCCCGTGCAGTGCAGGCTCTTACCGAGGGAGGGCGCTCGCTGGCCTCTTTGGATCCTTTCTGCCGCCGCCGCCTTGCGCCCACCCCGTCGAGCCCCTTCCCTTGATGGGCTCCGGCTTTTCTCTCCCAGCTCTGGCCCGTCTCCGCCTCCCCCTCCGTTCCCGCCCCGCGGATACCTGAGGTTCATGTCTCCGTTGACCAGGAGGGACATGAGGTTGGAGAGGTTCCCTCCGGGGCAGCAGCCGCACAGCAGGACGGCCACGGCGGCCACCTCGTCGAGGGCGAAGATGAGCGCCAGCAGGAAGGCCACGAGGGGCATGAGCCCGAACTGGCAAAGCAGCGCCAGCAGCAAGCCCAGCGGCCGCCTCAGCTGCGCGCCCAGCTGGCTCAGCTCCACCGTGCAGCCTAAGCCCAGCATGGTCACGCACAGGGCCAGCCCCACGAAGACGCTCAGCCCCTGGTTGAGGGGGCTGTTCCAGAACGGAGGGGTGCTCCTGCCTTCCTGGGGAGGGAAGCTGGACGCCTCCGTCGGCGGAGCCAGGCTGGGGCTCGCGCTGCCCGCGGGGCTGGGGACGGTGGGGACGAGGTTCCCGCTCCCTAGGGAAGGGAAGGGGGCACTCGTGTCGTTCTCCCAGGAGTGGTCCATGGCGCTCGGTGCGTGCGTCCGCCTCTCGCAAGCGCCGAGTTTCGAGTCGGTCAGCGAGTCAGCCAAGCGCGGGCAGCTCCTTTCCGCCCACCTTCCCGGTCCCGAGCGCCGGAGAAGCCGGGCGAGCCTCCGCCAGGTGGACACGCGCAGATAGACACGCGAGCAGGGAAGAGGCTGGGAAGACTGTCAGTCACTCTCCCAGGCTGGACTGCAGCGACGCCAAGTCCCGGCAGGGCCCCTCAGTCGTCTCCTCAAGTATTTCTGCACCGCCTTCGTTCCGCCAGCGAGCCACCCACCACCTCATCCCTTACGAAGCAGTGCATAGCACGCCAAGCTCGCAGCCCTTGGCTCTTTCTCACCGCTTTCTGCCAGCCGGGGCAAACGCGGGGGTGGATTTTTTGCACTGGACCACCCATGCCCGCTTCTCAGAGTCAGTAAGTACGTTGGTTGTGCCCCCTTCTATGGGAAGGGCAGTCGCCTTATTGCTCCTTTTCCAGCACATTTCATTTCCAAATTTTATTTAACGTTCGAGATAATGAGATTAATAATAAACACCAAATTTCTGGTTGTTAGCTAAAAATGTGTGGAACCTCCTGAGGAAACTGACTAGGGCCAAGAGAAGAAGTTTTGCTTCCTTTGGAAATCTTCAGATGCTTAGCACCAACAGCTGTTTCCAATTTTATATAGGCAGAATTTGATGGCATCCAAATGCCTCCCATAATTTAGCACATGGAGACCTTTTCCAGCACAGTCTTCATACCTTCAGATTTGCTTCCAGTTTTGTTTAATAAAATTTGACAGACATTCTAGGCAGCACTTCTTGTCACAGAGTTAATGGCATTCCTCCAGGATTCCACATGCACTATTTTATACTTGCAGAAATTGTAATAATTCTTTCAGATAATATCACAATGGTAGTGAACAATGTAATCGTTATGCACAAGTCCCACTGAAGTCTATAGTAACTCTGCAAGAACACTTAGCGCTCAGAAGAACTGCCTAGTGAATTGTGCACAAAGATACCAGGAAGGATATACAGAGGCACAAACTCTCTCTAAGACATACACACACTTTCTCCTTCCATTTTCTGATCCATTGAGGGTGGAATCCTATGCATGTTTAGACAGAAAAAAGCCCTGCCACTTATTGGGGCATGCTGGGAGTTGTAGGCCTTTTTTCTGCCTAAATGCACATAGGATTGTGCCTTTAAAGCCCTTTGTTTTTAATTTATTGTTTAAGATGAGTGTTTATTTACCTGCTATTCCATCACAGGGATTCTTTCAGCTCTTTGAAAACAAAGAACAGCAGCCATGCTGCCTCTCCACCCATCCTGGAAAGCACTGTATATTTATATTATTCTTAGCAGTTTCTGCATGCACACCATCAAATGATGCTCTGGAGAGGGGGAAGGGAGTACTAAATATGGTTCTTTAGCAGCATGGCTATAATTCCTGCCCTTGTCTGCTACAACATGCAGCACAATTGTCTCTTTACAGAAATGCATGGCGCTACAGCCCTAAGCGTAAAACACATTAAGTGCTCACTACAGAGACATGGATGAGTGCTTCTTCCTCCACTTGGGCTGAAAAATGGAAGTTGTGGGGAGGCATGGCATAATGGTAGAACACCTGCTTTTCATGTAGACTCCCGCCGGTTTAATCCCTGGCATCTTCTGTTAAGGCAGAAGAGTATGGGAAAGACTTGGTGCCTGAGAGCATAGGAAGCGGCTGGCAGTTAGATCACTGGGCTAGATGGTCAAGTAGTCTGAGCTTGTACAAACCAGCTTGCTCAGTGGTAACAGCCACTTTGGAGAGCAGAGTTTGAGCATATCCTTTACATGCACAAGGTTCCAGTTTCAGTGCCAGAAGTAGAACTGTGCAGGACTTCTGCTGGAAATCTTGGAGGGCTGCTGCCAAGCACTGTAGTTGAGGGGTGGAAAATAGCAGTGGTTGATGGATCCACTGTCAATGGGATGGCAGACCCATCCAGGTTTCAGTCTGACTTTAAAGGAGTTTTCCATGGTGCTGAACATGTTTTGGGAATTGGGTTTGGTGCTATAGGTCCTTAATATTTCAGGCTAAAATCCAGAGTGGATTCTCTGTTCTCTTGACTTTGATGCCACCAACCTTCACTAGCCAGAAACCTCTAGGATACAGACCAGATGTTGCTCACTGTATTTCCTAAGCCAGCCCATGGCACCCATTCCTCCCCACAGCTCTTGGTGGCTATGGGTCCCAACATAAGCTTTTTACAAAAAACAAAACAAAACAAAACAAAACAAAAAAACCCTAATGGTTGCATGGGAAAGAGTGGCAGTTGGGGAGGAAGTACGCCCCCCCCCCCCACACACACACACCATTCCCAGGCACTAAAACCCTCCTGAAAATTGCCTGCACTGATTCAAAAGGGTTTTTTAAAGCATACAGACATCAATGGAAGCCTCAATATTGTGGGGAGTGGCAGAAGGAGGGAGAGAGAAAGAAGGTGGAGAAGAGAGAAAATGGGAAAGAGAGAAGCAGTGAAAAAGGGAGAAGGAAGAATGGAGGAACAGATGGGATGGATGGATTAGATAGGTGCATTTATGCTAGAGCACCCCACTGGGGAGCTGTTTCAAGGAAGTCACCCATGGAACACACACACAGTTGGGTTTTAACTTGGCTACGACCTTACTGGTTACGGCTTAGAGTCTGACATGTCCTGCTGTCTTAAATGAAGTGGGGTGGGAGATGCCATAGCATATACGGTTTGCATGATTCCCTGCCACCCTAGAATTGGTGCCAGTGTACAAGCCCTAAGCTAGGCTGCATCCTTGTGACCCCTTAGAAGCCACCTGGGCCCTTGTTAGGGAATGGGGTGTATCCCTTTCCCCCTTGATTTGGATCCTTCCCAAGGCCTTGCATTTAAAAGGCCTGGCCATTAATTTCCCACTATTACATTGCTTACATTGCTGCAAGGAAGGCAACCCGCAGCCCCAACAACCTGTGCTCATTCATCCCGGCCAGATAAAATTGCTTCCCAGCCTTGTCAGCTGGTGGCTGACTGATGTCCAAAGTCACGTGCAAAAGGTGGGTGGGTTGGGCAAATTTGTGGCAATACATGCAGGGAGAAAAGCTGAGCCAAGACCTGCTCTTTTTACGTAGCCACAGTGTGGACTGGAGGGGAAACACCACTGCCCAGCCTGCTTTCACCTGCCCAGCACACCACCAAAGGGACCAACGGGAGGAGTGCTGGAGGGAAATTGTGAGCAGATGCAGACCACCACCCCTTCCCTCCATAGCCACCCATTCGCAACACAAATCGGGGGCCCTGGGACAGCTGGGGACAGAAGCTTGCAAAAGGGAGCGTGGGATGTGATTGGCCTAACCCTGTTTTGGCTCCAGTGGCATGCCTCACTGGGATGCGGCCCCCAGCAGGTTTCTCCAGTGGGAAAGAGGCCCCACAGAGGAGCGCGAAAGGCTCACCTCCCCAACATAAACATTACTGCATTAATCGGAGCAGTGGTCTGACTTGGTATACTGCTGTTTCCTACATTCCTGCCGTTGGAAGCAAAGCAATTGAACAAAGCACCGTATGATGTGGATGGATGACACTGGCCTTCATTTGCAGTGCAAGCATGGCCCAATAGGTCCTACTTTCTCATCTCACATATCAAAGGCAACAGGTGTCAGAGTCTCTTTACCAATGGTGCGAATGAATACTCAGACCCATGGGGAAGATTGCATTGCCTTGAACCCCAGCATTTTTATTGGAGAGATCACCCAGAACCCCCTGCAGTTACTTACGACAGCTTACTACTGGTAGTGGTCTACACTGCCAACTACAAAATCACAGCCCATATACAGACTTTTTTATAACCTTCCAGTCACATACAGAGTATTAGGTTTCTAGATAATGCTAACATAATAGCATCTTGATGTCTTCATGCAAAAAACAATACTCAAAACAGATCAGAAATGCCTGTGACAATGGGGTATGCTTTCTTTCTTGATTGAGCCTTATTGACAAGTCGATTTAGTGAATTTCTAGCAGTTTGGATCAGCCTCTGTGTCTGCTTAAACATGCAAATGTCTCTGATTGAGGAATCATTCAGAAAAACTGGGTTGATAACTACACTGCACAGGCAGTTGCCTCAGTTGAGCTAGATGATTAAATGGGTCCGTTCAGAAACAAATGGACACCTTTGTCTCCACTCTCTGCAGCTGATGGGAACTTTGATATTTCCTCACTGATAGTGTTAGCCTACAGCAGCTTCTCAGTCCAGCTAAGAATTCCATCTTCTTAAAGTAACAGCAATGCTAAACAGTAACCTGGCTTGGAATTTTGCTACTTTCCGACAAAGAGGTACAGACTTGATTTTATAACAAAGGTACATATAAGCAACCTTTTTCTACCAGGATTTATCTGAATTTTCCCAACATGTTGTGCTTGCTGAGATGATGAAGGCGGGGAGAAGACTGAATTTTCCAAATAGCAACATATTATAGTGTGATTGCTGGGAAGATGTGATGATATTCCTGGAACAGAAAATCTACATGGAGTATTATTGTCAGTTTTGCCCACAATAAAGCAAACAACAGTGTATTTACTGTGGAAAGAAAATATATCATCTTGCTAAACTTCCTTTCAGTGCAGCTATACAGACTTAAGTGGGTTACAGTCATAGTCTTGTACTAAATATGTTAACCCAACAGTAATAAAGTGATATAGTGCTCTTAATCTCACTTAAGTAAAAAGAATGACAACAACCATCTTTATCAATTAAAATTCAAAAAAATACTCCATAATGCTTTAGGGTCCAGGATCCCTGTGCCTTTCCCTTTTCAGGAATATACTTGTATTCCTTTGAACAAAAGAAGCTAGCAAACGGAAATGAGAGAAAAAAGTTTGTGACCTCTTCCTTTTCTATTAAATCACTGACGTCAAACATGGTTGGCAAGAATGCTTGCCTGGTAGTAAGTGTAGTAAAAAGAAAGCCAATTTCTTGCCTTTTCACATACAGATAATTCAGAATTTAGGTGACTGCCCCTGGAGATTAGTTTTAAAACAGTAATTCCCAGATTGTAGGTATGAACCCAAGTTGGTTGCTATAGGATCAAACTGAATGTGAGTACACTCAGATTAAAAATAAGAATCAAAGCAATGATTAAGTTTTCCAGGCCTGCAGGAATGTTGTCCATGGGGTTGTGATGGGTCAGGCACGACTTTGCGACTAAACAAAAACGGTTTTCCGGATTTGTACAAAAATGGCAGGTGGCATACACCTGTTTTCTGATTAATTTAGAAAATTTAAGAAAATTCCTTAGAAAAGGGGGAAAACCCATGCAAAATTGA